TCAGCACATACATTTAGACAACATATATCCATCCTTCCAGTACAATATATGGTCCCTAACATTGATGCAGCGAGAAGCTGCTTTTTATATAATACAATACAATCTTGGTAAAACTGCCATCCTAATGTAGTAACATGCCCCTACTGGTAGCAGGACTTTCAGACAGAATATCCTGGTGGCCCCAGAACATAATATAGTAGTGATTTTAAAAGTAACATCATGATGGCTAAAATGCCTTCACTAAAACACAGCAGGTTCATCCTGGTTCCTGCATGTCACATTGCCTTAGCTTATCAGTGACCAGGGCATTCTGAATTTCTTGGAGCTCTGGAATGCAAATATCTACCAGGTATCCCGATAGAGAACCTAGGCCCCACCCCCTCCCATCTCCCACATGACACCAATGGCCAGTGAAGCCAACCATAAAAATGAAAGAAATTAACGTGGGTGGGACCATCCCACCAAGCATTGAGAGTGACCTTTCTGAGTAGAGACAGACCATATTCTCTGCATGTCTTTTTTACAGGTTGTCTGACCCTTTAATCAGTGTTTTGCAACCTCACAAAAGTGAGTACCACAACCTATGCTTTCATACAATTATAATTCTTCCAATGGTCAATCTTGCTACACCATAAGGCCCTCTTGCGTGGTTCTCTTGTTTTTGTGCTGTTCTCCACTCCTTTGGAGTCCTGTCTCACTGTATCAAAATAAGAGGACACTAGTGCCATGCAAAAGGACTGTGGTGGAGCCAATTCATGACCAGAAATACCTGATTAATATTTGCATTTCATAATGCACTGCAATTTGGGCCACTCTAGACACTAAATATCTGAGGTAGGTGGATGTGCAAGAACCACGAGGTGTCTGCTGTGGTAGAAGTGGCATTTTTTAAATCTTAGTGTTACCGAAGGTTAGATTGCCAAGAACCTGCAACATGCAGATATATGTGGATACATAAACATGAGTAACAGTAAGAAGTAATAAAAGGCTTGGCTAAAAGAATGATACAGACAGGTGGGGCGCCTTTAAATGAATTCAATCTAATCAGTTGTTTGCCGTTTGCACAGAAGGGATTCAGAGGCTAGCAGTGCACTGAGTTGCCTAGACCTTTTTTTAGCACAATGCCTTTCCAGTTTGAACAACCCATTGATATACATTTTCCAAGGAAAAGTCTTTAAAAGGGCAGCTATGTAGGCATGTCATTACCAAAGTCACCTTTTATTAAATGAAAGAATATTGCTATAAAAATGCATTTAGTATTTGCACTGTAGCCAACTGACATGTAATGGATTGACCAGTGAGTGACTACAGAACAAAAGAGAACTTCTTTACCAATTCAGATTTTACCATCATAATAGAACTCATGAATTAAAACAGGCCAAAATGAAAAAAAAAAGTGTGAGATCCTTCATTTCATAATATATGAACACTGGAAAAATGACAGCTGGAACAGAATTGGATACTGTGGGCAACCGACCGTTTCAATAGCCAGGGTACAATCTCTAAGCAGTTTACCACAATAAAGAGCGCTATGGCTTTCCAGGCATTTGCATACATTTGCTGGAGCCATCAAAAGCCACAAATACGCTCAGAATCATTTTTAAGAAAGGTGTGGTTTTCCTCACAAGCATTCGTTTTCTTCTGTTTATAGCCAAAGCATTCGGATGCTTTTCAGTAACACTTCCTAAATAAAGCCGCATTCATTACAGATCTCAGTCACGACTTCTCATTGTAAAGGATTATAGAAAACAAAGATGGAGAAGCCCAGTGAGCTGTGAGGACCCACCTGCTTTTATCCCTGAATGAGTCACAGACATATTACTTTTAACTTCAGGTTGTGGTATGCAGTATATCGCCTAGTTTCATCAAAAATTCAATATTTTTTTCTTGTAGAGAGTTCTAAAGTGCTCATGCAAAAGTCATTTTAGATATAATCATCTTCTACCTAGCCAAAGGTGAAATAAAGACTCCCATGACCTGGCCAGGCTGTGAGTATCAAGCAGCGATGACATATGACAAATAATAGGCCTATCATTCAGTAGGCCACAAAAATGAACCAAGTTAGGTGGAGCAAACATGTTTATGTTCTTGCAGCAATAAAATGCTGTACTGTTGTGAGAACAAGTGGAAGAAAATAGACACTCACTTATATAAAAAAGGGCTTTGTTAAGTCTAAGCACCCCACGCACACCCTTAGACCACTCCTTCTGACATACGCCAAAAATTACAGAGTTGGGCTGCACAGTGCCAATCGATAAGTGGGTAGAAAGGGGAGGCAATTCCTATAATACACATAGCTATCTATGTAAGAATTAGATTAATTACTGCTTTCATTATGCCCATGTGATCTCGAAGTTCATCAGAGACGCTGAAGCTGAATACGATTCAGACACAAATTAATATGTATGAACATTATCATCCACCGCCTTATATCTACTATAGGCAACCAAGACACAAATGCTAAATGCCAGCTGTAAGACTTCAATGTATTATAAAACCATATTTAAAAGGGCATGAAAACAGATCAATTAATACAAATGAGATTAAATATATTTAATTATAATCAATCTATCCCCTTTACATTTCCTTAACACTTCTTGCTCTTTTGTGATTGGTTGACCCAACTATTTATGAACTGAGAAAGCCAAGTGTCAAAGCTACAAGTAGGGCAGATATGTTAATTATACTGTGGAAAATGCTATCATTACAACCTGCAATGATGTTGTAGTATGATAGTTGCCACAAAACAGACACAGCAATATTAGTAAACATTTTAATGTTCTAAGATTACTTGTGTTCTCTTTGTAACTTCACCATCACCGTGTAGATGTTAAGAATTGTTTCTTTCATTATTTGCTACATTTCATGCTCCAGAAAGGGGCTTTATACTTCTGAACTAAAATTCAGTTCAGTGCAACCTCCAAGGTCCCTTTCACATGCCATTCCCATTAGGTCCATCTGCCAGTTTGTGGGCGGACTTGAATGGAAGCTCATTATTAGTCGATGGGGAGTAGGATCCAATAACCTCCGAGTGCATTTAAGTCGAAAAAAACAGAACAGAGATCCTTTTTGGTGGACCTGAATGGGATGGATCGGAGGTAATTGGATGTAGTCTGCTTACATTTGACTTCACATGACTTAACATGGGTCCGGTTAGTTGATGGTGGAAAAATCTGAATGGACACAGATGTTACAAGAGTGACATCCCTTCCATGATGTTCTGGTCAGCAGGGGATCTGTGCACTGACAATGCCCATGTGAATGGGACCTAAAATAAGCTATACACTGTAATTTTTTTTATTCAACCTGCGGGCTGAACAAAAAAATATAACAGATTCCTCATTCTACACTAAACAACGTGGATGGAGGAATCTCACGCTGCTTTGAATGCATTCTGACAGCAGCGCCAATCAGCTGCAAGCACTGCTTGGCCAAATAATTTTCCAACTGGCTCCTCTGGTCTTCTGATTGAGGGATGCCGGGCAGAAGGGTGCCGACAGGGGCACCCACTGTACAAATTTCGTCCAGTTCATTAAGAACCAGCTTTAGGCATTCAAGCAAAATATTATTTGTCAGTCATATACAGGGGTGTGGAATTCCTATCGCCCGACGCCCGGGACATGCAGTTTCGAAGTCTCAGCTGTCAGGAACTACACAGAACATCAGTTCTGTGTTGGAGGGCAGGTTCCATAAAAAGAACCTGTCACTTCCAAACTATCACTTAGAGGATTTTAAATCTCTATGTGATAGGAATAAAATTAGGTGGGGGGGGGGAAAAAAATAATCTGCATGCAAATAAACGCACGCATAGGACATTGTGTGTGTGCGTTGAGTGCTGCCGCCATTTCACTGTGCCGTATTGGTGGTAGCGAGGCAGCAGAACTCTCCCACACGCACAATGTGCATTAAAGGGCAAGTTCACTTTCCAAGGTAATATGGGAAAATGGAATTACCCGATCAAATCTGGCCCCTGTCTCTCCCAAAACCCCCCACCCCCGGCTATACTTACCTTTCGGCAAACAGTCCTTACCCTCCGCCGGTACAGGTGTACTGTCCTTACCCCGTACTGTCCAGCGCAGTCCTGCCCTATGCATTTTAAATTTCGCTCACAAATTGCAAGCACTCATTGGTCAGCGTGGTCTGGGGACCACGCTGACCAATGAGAAGCGCTATTTAGCACAGACCAATACAGTTTTGATTAGGGATGCACAGATACAGAGTACTTGTGCAAGTACTTGTACTCGCCCAAATGCTCGATATCTTCTCCAATACCTGAACTTCTGGTCAGAGGAAGACTTCCTCTGACCGGCAGTGCCGGAGGGGAACATGGAGCCAGCTTCCCGTGCAATCAGGAAGCGGGTCAGCGACTAATGACCCGTCTCCCAGTTTCCTGATTGGCCAGGAAGCCAGCTCCTTGCTGATTGGCTGGGAAGCCAGCTTCCCAGCCAATCAGCATCGAGCCGGCTTCCTGGCCAATCAGGTCATTACTCGCCGCCCGGTTTTCTGATTGGCCAGGAAGCTGGCTCGATGCTGATTGGCCGGGAAACCGGCTTCCAAGCCATTCACAATCAAGCCGGCCAAACATGGAGTCGGCTTCCCTGGCAGTCAGGAAGCCGGGGAGCATCTCATTACCCGCTGCCCGGCTTCCTGATTGCCGGGAAGCCTGCTCAATGCAAACGGAAGCACCGATACTCGGTGAGTACCGAAAGCAAAATATCGGTACTCTATACCCAAAAACCGGTATTGGTGCATCCCTCGTTTTAATTAAAACTATTTTTTTTTTTGTTGTATTGGGACAAGTAGATTGTTATGCAGGACAAGTAGATTTGGCCCCTGCTTTAGCCCTTGGACAAGTAGTTTTTTCAAAAATTTCCACACCCCTGATATATCTGAAGTGTTCAAGCAGTATGAAGATATAATAGTTGACTGCTCATACAAATTTACCATCATCTAAAATACACAAAAACAGGAACATATATTTCAGTGAAAGCAATACTCACTCAATGCGTACAAGCAGAGAAATATCCCAGCAAGACAGAATCCTTCAAAAAACCTGAGCGTGCTGAACATGGTCACATTCACAGAGAGTGCCACAGAAAGCCCAAAAATTAGGTTGAAGACTACAGAGAACAGCAGCACAAGACGTCGGCCGATCCTGAGAGAGAACAGAAAGTTTTGATTACAGAGCTGCAATAATTTGTTTTTGGGGTTCAGATTTAAGCATTTTATATCCAGTACACTTACACCTAATTCAATCTCTGTAATGTATTGAACTACAACAGACCTAAAGGCAGTTACTAAGCTAATTAAATGAGACCTTTCAGAAATCCTAAAAAATGTCTTTTGATATAGCATTACTACTGCTCCATTATTGTAGCAGTAATTAAAAAAATAAATGTATTGTTTTTTGTTCCCAGCAGGTATTCCCCTCTAAGGCTGTCACAAAATGCAGAAGAGGACAGCAAAATCCTGCGGCTGAAATCACAGGTGTATGCGAACACCTGTGGCGGGGAAGCCTGTACAAAGCAATGACAGGCGCTGCAGCCATAAATCGCTGTTCACATTTATCCTCACAGCTAGGGACAGGTGATCGACCCGGGATGCAATCTCTCCCTAGCTGTACCTGACCCATAGACTTGCAGATACATGTGTACATCAGGTGTTCACATAGACCTGTGAATCCGCTAATTCTTGCCACAGGAATTGCATTGTATTGACATTTCTTTTAAAAGTAGAACTCCGGGCAAACAAACAAAAAAACCTACCCTTGCAGTGGGGCTACACCCACTGAAGGGTAAGCACTGACTGGAGCAGGACTAAGGATCAGGTGAGTAATACAGCTTTGAGTCCCTACAGAAACTAAGCACTTAATCCTTGCAGTGTGAGCAAGCCTCACTGCAAGGGTAAGGTTTCGCTTTGCCCAGTGTTCTTCTTTAACTGTTAGGTCATGTACTGTCTGTATACAGGTTTCTGCTTCCATACGGACACAGAACAAAGAATCCAGTGATGGTGAATACAAAGTGATTACTCCCATGACAGACAAACCCCCTATGGAATACTATATTTATATATGAGCAACCAATAGTTAATTATAACCTTCTATTCCTGGAATTCTTAACCCTCCAATTCCCTCTCTAGTGTGGTTTCCTTATTTACTGAGCTTTTATTATCCAACGTCAGCACCCGATCATTTAACCACCTAATATCCTCTCGTAAAAGATCGCAAAGTCACTGGTTAGTTCTGCACAGCTGCAGTAAGGGATCAAAAAGGGTTCCAACAGACAGTTGAAGTGTTATAGGTTTAGTAAAAAAACGGAAGCTCAGAATAAATTTGGGCTCATTATAAGAAAAATATCCTTCTTATAAGTCCTTTTTCAGGACTGGAGGAAATGATCAGATAACAAATACCACCAGGAGATAAACTGGAGAACAGGAGATAAACTGAAAAACATAATTTTGATCCAC